CCGGTCCTTAACCATTTGGCTTTTCACAAAACAACACAAAGGTGCCAAGACAAAGATGAGGTTAGATTAGGTAAAGTTCGGTTAGGTAGAAATCGGTTGGGTTAAGTTAGGTTATAAGTTAGTTTAGGTTAGGTCAGGTTTGGTTAGGTTTGGTTTAGTTGTTTTTTTTTTGCGTAGTTTTACCACACAATTTGCGTTGGGTTGGTAACATTTTCATGAATGCACCCAAGAATTGAGTGTGAAAACCATTCAAATCACACCGAAGTGTACAGGAAGATATAACTTCGTCTAAAGAGTCGTGGGCGGTTCTATCACGAATAATAACCTGAAATTTGAGAGTTCCAGCCTTCTGAAGAATGGAACTTTATCAGTACTAAATGCATTTCTTCTGAATAAAAAGAAAGACAGGTTTCTGTTCTTTTTGTGTTGTTGGAGCAATTAATAGGTGCACAGTAATTAGGTCTCATTGCAGATGGTAAAAAAGGGCACAATAAAAAGACGTGAATTCACCGAAATGCTCACGTCTTCCTCCCTTTAATCCTTGCCTGGCAACAATTTTGTATACTTATCAGTCGCTTGCCGGCGCCACATTCGGGGAGTGAGCTATCGTCCTACAGTATAGAATCCTTGGTGTTACACAAACGGGGGACGATAAGAGTCGTAAACCCCAGACACAACATCTTCTCAGAGAGGAACTTAACAAAGAGGTAACAACCCACCACTAACACACTCCGCGCCAGGTGCTACCAGCGGGAAAGCGAGTCTCACTCTGCCATCGACTAGTCATAATCTTTTAAAATTTAGTGGTGATATTTATATACCATTTTGACGATGACGGTCAAGAGTCATTCATTGTTACTGAGACTTCAGTATCCATTCAATCTCGCATACACTTATTTCTTCTACACTGGCCTTCCTTATGCAGACGTATTTTCCTGTCATAATTTTCCCGAAAGAATGTCCATATGTGTGAGTCATTTAATTGTTTATATGGATGCTAGACGAATCAAAGATTAACAAAATATGGTTCAGGTCTTCTTATATCTTGAGTTAGGAGGTCAAGAGAGCGGTAGCACTTGGTCATTGTGAGCGCCACCTACCGCTATTGTTCCCAGCACAATGCACACGTTCCCAGGTAGGTGATAGGCTCACACTTCTCACACTTCGTTCCATGCACAGAAAATTGTCAATTCACCCTTCACTGACACTGCACTGTATCGTATTTAGCAAGAATACGTCCACAATATTTGACCTAATGGGTGTTAAATCTTTTTATGTTAAGATGCGAACTCTTCCTCCGCGTCTTAAATAAGATAAAACTATAGTTAAGCCAGGGTGTGGGGTGGTGTAAGTGGGGTCCGGGGTGTGGGGTGGTGAAAGTGGGGTCCGGGGTGTGGGGTGGTGTAAGTGGGGTCCGGGGTGTGGGGTGGTGTAAGTGGGGTCCGGGGTGTGGGGTGGTGTAAGTGGAGGCCGGGATTGTGGGGTGGTATAAGTGGAAGAGTCGAACATGAGTGGCGTGGATTAGAAACTTAAGGTGGCAGTTGTGCTAGATGTTTCCAGTAAGTGTGAAACGAATAGGAAAAGTAATGATAATTTTATATGCAATGAATGAATGTTATGTCTGGTCTACTTTGACTGAGGCTGTGGGCAGTAAACACTTAAAAAACGGTGTGAAAGAATAATTACTTGTTCTGTTGATATATAAACTCTACAGTGGTTGTACGTAAGACAAAGTATAATGAAAATATATGACCTGAGTGTGATGACCTAAGTATGATGACCTAAGTGTGATGACCTGAGTGTGATGAGAAGTATACAGTTTTGAATTAGAGATTAAAAAAAACTTGTAAAGAAAGAATGGGTGATAAAAAGAGTGAACTAAGCTTTTAAGGGAATGAATGAAAACTTCACCCAAGACTGAGGAAGGTGTTGATGAGAGATTACAAAATTTAAGGTGAGATGGAGAATATTTTAAAGAGATCTGATGAGGAGAGAAGGACGAGATAATAAGGCATATCTAAGACCGAATAAAGATTGGGAGAAAATAGAAGAACAAACAAAATAACAAAGGAAATAAGGCAGACGATAAAGCATTTAAGAATTTTCTAAGTCAAAATTTATGGTAAGTGAAATTATTAAAGGTAGGAAAGACATGGTGGAATGAATGGGGAAAAAACAAAATTACTTATCTTGTATAGGTGTGCAGAAGTTTATAGAGGCTGTCAAGAAATACGTGTGAAAGTAAATGGATGGTATGAGTACTGAAATAATCGTGAGAGCGTGTCAGTGACCTGTGTTGTTGCCGTGGTTATTCATTGGGTTTTTTTATGGTTGGAACAATGTATAATACGAAAGAATATATAGGTGAGAAAATATGAAGTGAGATATAGTTAATTAGTGTTGGTATTGATACATCTTGAGTGTATTGATGATGCTACGCTTGATAACCGATTTTCAGGAAGAATTGGAGTGAACGAAAATCTCTTGTGTTGGGGGTCCATGGAAGAATATTACAGATAGTGCTGGAAAGAGTAAAGTTATGGTGTTCGAAAGGGAAAAGTTATCTCAATGTAATGTTACTGAATAGAAGAGACTTGAAGGCTATGAATTAAAAGTCCGGGGTTCTAAAGCACGGACACGGGAGAGTGGAAGTAAGTGGCCAGGAAGGGAAGAGTCTGAACATTAAAAGTATAAGGAGGACTGAATGAGTGAGCAGTTATTGGAGCTCTTTTTTATGGATATGAGAGTTTGCCATTTCAGAGTGTGTTAAAAATTCATTCGAGTAGCTTAAGGAAGTGTTAAATTAGGGACATTATTTGTAACTTTGCCTCAAGACTTAAATGACGTAATGTTAGTAATAATGCCTAAAATACACACGAGTATGAACATTATTTTGATTCTTGGTGATTATTTACACTCAATTACACACTAGTGGACTACGAGTGAAGTTTGGACGAAGCCGATTGCTGTACCTTCCCAGGTGTCGGCGACCCGAAGTGGGTAAAACAGTTTCCCAGGTTCTTAATGTTAGGCTTAATAAGGAATGACGCAGCTCCTGAGAAGTCTCTTGACCCATTCTGGGACAGCCTCTACTTGACCTAGTCTCTTTGTTTAGTGAGGATCGCCCAGTTTCTTTTTATGTCTTCATGACGCCACTGATATCCTTCAAGGCTTGATACTTGTATTTTTTTTTTTACGAAACATCGACCACAGCTGTAACTATGGTGATAAAGTATTGAAACACGTAAGAGTGTGTTTACATGTCGGAAAAGTGTTTTAAAATATGGTCGATACCCAGTTAGCAACGCGACCTGAGGTGTCAAATGAGCATTATTGAATCGATAGCATTTTGACACTCTTTCTTGAATTTTCCAATATTTATCTAACGTAAATCGATGCCGTTTCGACATGTTTTTTAATTAATACAAAACAATAACAAAAACAGCAGGGAATCAATTGTTTTAGAGTTATTTCCTTAATAATTATGTACAAATGGCGTGAAATTTAGACCCAGACCAGTAGATATGGGGTGAAGGTAGACAATGCTTCTCAATTGGTACGTGTTAAGGCAGCAACATGGAGCTGATATGGAGATGGAGGATATTACAAGGAAAGAGTTGCTAAGAACAAAGTAGAACGACATAGTGAAAAGTGACCGAGAAAGAACGGGGAAAGATGTAGCGGTGCAGATGGAAGAGGATTGTGGAGTGGAAAGAACTACACAGTATAAGATAAAGACGCCATGCTCATTAAACTGTAATTGGTTGTTTGTTGTATGGCATCTATGTAATGAGGATGGTATTTTTACCTCGGTTTTGAAAGAAATGGAGATCTTAAGCATAGGCCGTAATTACTTGCAGCTTTGAAATATAACCAAACCGCTTCAAAAGTACTGTACATAATAAAAAAAATTATCTCCCTCAAAAGCAAAGTTTATTTTACAACTCATGGCTTCACTGTTCGAAGGTTGTTTGGCCTCCTGAGCAGCTGTCGAATGAGTTTCTAATTTTACTGTTGGGAAGTAACAAGTGGTGGAGTGCAGTACTGGCCACGTTGTCTCTCTGTGTATCGAAGCCTTAGTGCTCTATCCACAGTGCATCAAATGGGTCGTTTGGTTTATGGGAACCACTTACACACACACTGATTATTTTAATAAGTGCATCATTTGGCCATAGGTTATCAAAATTCTGGATCATATAAAGATTTCTGGCAAAGATAAAACCTGTGTTAAGGCGTTCCATACATTCTGAAATTTTGTAGTTTGAGTATCTGCCACAAAATCGAGACAAAATGAATATAAAAACACGAAGAACAATAAAATAGTTCCCTTTATCTATATTGGTTACCTTTAGTGAAGAGCTGCCAATAGCTTTCATCGGTGTCCAATTATTATACGAGTAAACTTCATTTTGATCAAGTAAAATGTGGAATAATTGTTAAAGACTGGCTGAAAACGTTTGGTGTGGAGGGCCCTAGTCGCCAACCCTTTGATTGGTATCTCTTTAGGAGTCACAACAACACTTTTTAGAGAGACTGATGCAAGGTAAAGGACCAATAACGTACTTTGTGTGTCACTGTATGTCTTTAGTTACAACACTGCTTTTGGTCACATCACGGTACAGTTGACACCACTACTATGTCAGTCTCCAAAACTACACAGCTGTATGAAACCTTATGTCAAAATATATTTAACACAATACATGGGGGTGACTGGCTTGCCTTACAGTCAAGCCAGTCACCACATGTGGTACAGTATCCCAATCATGTTGCGAGCCAGTGTGAGTAATCCACGATTAACTATAATTAGTTTCTGAATAAATGAATCATTAAATTTCTTTCATAATTACATAATTCATCCACATCAGAAAACAGCTTTGTATACAAACGTTTGATCACCGAAATCTTATATAATTTATTCCATTAATATTTAAATCACGACTGTGAGTTAGAGCATCACGGGGTGAATGAGTCAGCAGCTTACATTACTGTGCCACTTACAGAGGAGGAGACATGGACGCAGCTATCATCGCGAGGAGAGCAGCCGGCGCCACGCCACGCCCACTCTGCCGTCATGCATGACCAACAGATGTGGGTCTATGGCGGCATGACCGACCTCCAGGAACGGAACGATTTCTGGCGCTACGACACAGGTGAGACACACTGGTGATAGCGACTTGGATCAGTGAAGGAGGCGTTGACTGTTGGAGGGGAGGAAGGAGGCTTTGACTGTTGGGGAGGAGGGGGTGTTGACTGTTGGAGGGGAGGAGGAGGCTCTGACTGTTGGAGGCTCTGACTGTTGGAGGAGGGAGGAGGAGGGAGGCTCTGACTGTTGGAGGGAGGAGGAGGCTCTGACTGTTGGAGGGGAGGAGGGGAGGTTTTGACTGTTGGAGGGGGGAGTGACTGTTGGAGGGGAGAAGGGGAGGCCTTGACTGTTGTGGAAGAGGCTTAGACTGGCCTGGGGGGCTTAAATAAAATAAATTGATGAATTGAGGGACAGACTGCTGAGAGAGAGATTTAGATAACTAAGGGAGATTGACAACTGGGAGGCGACTGATACTTATGTTGTCAAGTTTCAGACTGGAGAAGACGGTTTCAGAGGACTCTTACATTGGTGGTGACAGATTAGACTGACAAGTGAACATAAAACTGCTGAAGGAAGCTAAGAATATTGCAACAGAGGTTAAAAATGTCGATGGAGGATAACAGTCTAGATGTTGACCCCCGTAGTTGCAAAGGACACGGCACTACAGCACTTGAAGGGGGTGGAGAGTGACGCTAATACGAACTTATGATAATAGACTTAGCTCGTTTTATTAATATACCTCCCCATCAAGTGTTATAGTGCTATATCTCTTGGACACCCTATCTAGAAACTTTATTATATCAACCATATAATGTGTAATTAACATTGGGTTTGAATATGTAGATTTGGCTATAACTTACAACACATAGGCTTCAAAATAACCTTTATCATTCCCGCTGGGTGAGATCCGATTATCCTGCCGCATAAAAGGTTATCCTATGGCTGCCAGTAACCAATCGATGTCAATTCGTTATATCGGCTAACCATTTCCTCCCAGGCCACCATAACGGGCCTAACTTATAATATATTAGGTATTTTTTGATATAGTGTGGTGAAGAACACTCATGGTCGACAACCCATCAAAAGGGGAATTAGAGTGAGCTAATGACTCCTAATATCAGTGAAGTAAGGTGGTGATTAGTTAGTCTTACCGATTGTGAACAGATTATTGAAGAGTTAGTGACAAATATGGAAACAGATTTTTAGTGTGAAGTAACTATACGTTGTTTCAGCCTGGAGTCCTTCGTGAAGTTAGTTTGAATCCAGGTTCGTATAGGAATAACAAACTTTTATTGGACGGAGAAAATGGCATATCTAATTTAATGTGGAAAAATGGCAACAGTGGAACAAACTATCAGGTGAACAACGTAGATATAGATAAAATTTTAGAATATGAAATGGAGTTACGATTTTAGAGGCAATGATAAGTAGGGATCAAAAACCTAGACAACAATGCGGTTATGCACAAAAAAAAAATATCAAAGTACGAGGGTTCATATTTAGGAATGTTAGTAACAGGAGCAGCGATGTTAAATAAATGTGACATAGCTAAGATCACTTAAACTATATCAAATCTTGAATGAACTTGAAGCAATGGTTTTAAATGAGACAAATTTACATTTAGGAGGAAATTAGGTAAACACTGGTTTGGAAATAAAGTTTTGGATGAGTGGAACAAGTTGCCAAATATCATTTTTAAGTGGAATTCGCTGGGAAACTTCAAATATAGGTTGGACAAATATATGAGTGATAGAGTTGGGTGTAAACAGTGCTCCCGAGTACAGTATAGGGCAGGCCATTGGGCATACAGTTTCCTCCATTCATATTTTTTCATGTATTATATTAACTTGATGAATGTTTTTTTAGCAGTATTTTAATAAATCTTGATTTAGACAGTTTGTTTATTCAATTCTCTGAATCAGCTGTAGTGGTCCCTCTCCTGAGAAAGGTTGGGAGCCATTAAATAATGTAACTAGACAGAAACGTGCGAATAAATACAACATGAAGCAATCCTGTAAGTGTTACATTGCACACAGATGAAGGCACACAGTTTGTGAACTAGTAATGTTATGTACTTTACAGCTAGTCGGACGTGGACACAGGTCAGGGCCCGGCCTAACCCCGGCTATCTTCACTCTCACGTGGCCGCCAAGCTTCACTCCTGCATGATTGTGTTCGGCGGTGAGCGGCAGGGCGAGATGCTCAACGACCTCTGGAGGTTCCACTTCGGTAAGTTAGACGCAAGCGTCGCGGTTTCAGTCTTCAGGGAAGTTCTAGGCCTACTACTTTTAGTTTAGTGTATTGTACATTAAATGTATATCATATATCACCAGTCACTTAGAATTCTTAAAGTATATTATCACGTGTTGTTCTTGACATCATGACAGGTTAATATAGGTAGTAGATGTTTATTATCTCTTGACATATTATTGAGAGAATCGTGTTGCACCTGGAGTTATTAATTACACATACCACAGATGTTAATGAAACAAACGGTAGTTTCTTGACACCCCCAGCAGTTAGTAGTAGATGTTGCTGACGCCACCAAAAGTAAGTAGTGGTAGTTTCTTAACACCACCACCAATTAACCCCTTGGGTACGAGGTGTCTCTACTGAATATAATCGTCTGGCGTTAACGAAATAAAATATTCAAAGTGGCGTCCAGTAGTGGAGGGATTATTTGAGATAGTTTATGAATAAATTATATCTATTACATTATTAGTAGTTAGAAGTAATAGGAGTTGACCTCTACAATACTAACTGTAGATCTTAACGGCACCATCACTTTGGAGAATTACAAAATATTGCCATCATGACGTCATTAACATTTAGTTCATGATACCATAAGCAGTGTACCTGCAATTTTATCCTAATTTATTGGTAGATTATGACAGCAAGTTTTATTTGCATTTCTTTGCTTCAGTCAACCACTTGTGAATAGTAAAAAATCTTGACATCATCAATAGTTAGTATCTATAGTTCTTTGTGTCTTTAAGAATGTGTATAAAAAGTTTGTAGATTCAGACCTGTAATATTTAGTAACGAAACCTATAATTCTTGATGTAACGGATCAATTTAGCGTAACAATAATTTGCATTATCCTCAGATGTGGTAATGATAAGATATCTGATGTAAGTTTACGAAGGTGATGTGCATTAAAATATAAATGTATTCCAGCTTACTACCCATAATAGGCTTTGAGATGATGGGATATTTCTTCCACAGCCACCAGCACCTGGGAGCGCCTCGTATCTTCAGGTATCAGACCTCAACCGAGATCTCAGTTCTGCGCCTTCGTGGCACCATCGCACCACATCAAGGGCCCGCGCTTCCACACACCCTCCTCACGCCTGGGATCCTCCTCGGCTGCAAGTAGCAGCAGCCACAGCAGTAGCGGTTATAGCAGTTCTCATAGTCACGACTCATACCGCACTAGAAAAGTCCACCCAGATGACTCTCTCAACTCAGGGGGTGCCTCCAAGAGTAGTGGGGGCAAACCCGGGGGAATGTATGAGGGAAGTGGATGTGCTTGTAAGGAATGTGTAGATGCAGATAACGACGACGATCTAGATCCGAGTCGTCTTCGATCGCTTATCCAAAGGAACTGTTCTAACGCTCCCACTGCACAGTTAAAATTGTCAATATCCAAATTTTCTCAGTTAAATTTGTCCCACTTGGGTCGATATTATAGCTACAGCATGCTTAGTAATGACAGTACAGAAAGTATAGTAGAAGAATCACTAGCTAGTACTTGTGATAGTTTGGGTAGTAAGATTGTGAAATCTCAGAGTATTCATGTTATGAATAAGGATAAAAATGGAAAATCAAACGGAGATAAAAGTGGTATGACAAGAGACATAGTTTCAGTGCCAAACTTTGGAGATATAAAAGACAGTGAGGAAGATAACACTGAGTCTTCCCAGATGCCTGTCAACCACGTCAAAGTCATCACTGTCATGCCTGCTGAAGGGTCAACTGAAGCTAGTTTAGAGGACGACTCCAGTGACCTAGTAGCTGGGATCAAGGGCCGATTAGCCTTCAATCATGACGATACTATTCAATCTGCTGATACTAGTATTAGTGAGAACCTTATGTCTTTTTCTTGCACCACTGATAGCAATCTCAGTAGTAATACGAACCTTCATAGCACCAGTAACTACAACATGAGTGGAGTTAGTAGTTTTGCTAACCCAAACTATGTAGGATTTGATCCTGGCAGAGACTCGGGGGGGCTGTTAAGTCAAGATTATTGGACAACTAGAGCTCTGGATTTAGAAAGTATTCGACACAAGGAATTTGCAGAGCTGTTGCGGACACCGCCAGATTCCGGTATTGGACTCGGTGTTGAGATGGAGAGGCGAACTCCACTTGACCTTACTCTAGCAACCCTTGAAGATTTTGTTACTTTTGACAACCAAACTGCACGCTTTAACAAGACTCGCACAACGGATCACCCAGCTGGGACTAACGGAACCTCTACACATAAGCCAACCTCCACTGCCAAAGTCACTTTTTCATCTAGTCACGTACGAAATTCAGGTGAATCGTCGGGCCAAAATTCACAGAGGCACTCAGAGGATTCCAGAGAGCCGCCGGCACCTCGAATTAATCCCTTCATCAAGGAAGAACCATCTTACAAATCTCAGTCCCCGAGCGCCATGTACATAGTCGGTGGGAAGGAGATGGACCAAATGACTGCGTTTAGACGACCCATCTCCGTGTGGAAGTTGGACTTGCCTTTTTAATATATTTTTATTATCCCTGAAGCTCCATTAGGTATTAAAGGTGATGATGTAACATAGTGTTGCCTTCCATCCATTATAGAGATGCATTTTGTACAAACAACACGAGGAATCACATTTATTTCCTGTTTGAGCTTTCACTGGATATATTTTTCCCTGTCTAGGCTCCCAGGTAGTGGTGTACCCGCCATTCTAGTATTTCACAGATGAACTAATTATATCTGTCCATGCATCCCGTCCTGTGCTCTCATTAAGCAAGATAAGCTTTCATCCTATGGTTTCCTGTGTCATTAGCGATGTTACACTACAAGTGTTGTCACAGGTAGACATGCGCCATACTAATCGTCGGCTGCGGAACTAGAGCTGATGTTATAATTTTATGTCGTGTCCTTCATGTCAGTATGACGTGACAAGTAGTATTTCGTGCACGTGTTTCACTCTATGTTTCATTTCAATGTTGTAAAATAAGTTATTAGTCAACTTTTAATGCTTATAGGTTGGTTCAATTTTCAATGATAAAATACATTGAACTTTTTTAGCTTATAAGCCATTTAATTGATATTATGAATCTGTGTATTAATAAATCTTTGTTTGAAAAATATATATATTTAAAATTTAATTTAAGCAAACAAATTTTCATAGCTTTTAAATTGTATAATCATTTTATTATTTAATTTTCATTATTTTAACACCCATAGGAGCTATCACTGATGTCTTGTGTGTATGAAATGTGAAAAACAGCTATATAGATTCAGCAATCTTTCGACAATGTATTTGAACATCATCAGATCTATAGATACCTAAATAGATTACAATCCTATAAATCCTATAAATACTGTTACCGGAATATATATATATATATATATATATATATATATATATATATATATATATATATATATATATATATATATATATATATATATATATATATATGACTCTTAAGATACAAATACTGTACACCATAGTAAACATTCACTATTTATGTGTTTTATGTTATAAGCAAATTGACAAATCAGGCTTTTGTAAACTGTTCTGGCAAAATGTAATTTACTGTATCTGGGAAAATTGTCTATTTCATGAAATATGTCATGGATATGCTGTAGTGTGGGTAAGTTTGGTTAGGTTAGGTTTTGTTACATTAGATTATTCAGTTGAGATCTGTGAAAACTTGAATTATTTTTCCACATTGAACCTAACCTAACCTATCCTAGCTTATCCTAATTTAATTATGAATTAGTTTAGTATTTATCCTGGAAAAAAAATCTTGCTATTTGGATATCAGTCCACATAACATTCCTGTATTATTATTTTGTGGTACAAAATAATGAAGTTAACACATTCTCACCTATTTACAAATTTCACATATTTAAAAAAATGCTGAGGCATTTTTCCAAATACCCGATTGACAATTTGCCTACAACACACACACACACACACACACACACTTAAACTTAATACTCAATTAAAAAAGATGATCTTACAGCGAGAAAATTACATAATTCGAAAAGACAGATGAACACAACGTACTCATACAAATCAAAAAGAGTAAAACAGTGAAGGAGTCCTGGGTGCCCAAGAATGGTTGGACTTGGATAAGGAGTGATTACTGTTGTGTCATGCCGTCGTGGCAAAGTGGTGAAAATTGCAAAGTTTAATCGATATGTATAGTGATGAATTGTTGGTGATTGTTCATAAGTAGACAATAAATGATCTGTTCTAAATGATCGACTCAGATGTTCTGTAATCAAAGATGTGATTGTATTACTTATAGGAAATATGACAGTACCTTTATATCATGTTGTTTCATCATAAAGAGAGCATTTCAGTGTACCCAGTCAGAAGTGTCATTGTAAATCTTCAAGAACAATTCGAGATACCGACTGTTTTTGAGAGTTATACTACGCTCGTTATGCTCTTTCCTGTTGTGATCTTTGGAATAAACGAGAGAGTCTTTTAAGAGAGAATATGTCACCAATAAGTCGAGGTTAAGTGAGTTGTTCTCGAGTAGGAGTTGCTCTCGTACCTGTAGTCGATAACAAGAGTCAAGGTTTATGAAGTATAAAACATTCTTCATTAAACTACATGTGATCATTTAGGAAGTAAATAGTATAATTCTTGGTGTTAAACATAGAAGTTCAGGCTATAGTTCAGGATTATCTCTGAGGGTTGTAGGAAGTATATGAACGATTCATAGTATATCAGTCATAGAGTCGCATAATTAACAGACATGCAAGAGGTAACCAGAAAAAAATGTGCTTCTAGTTTAATAAAAAGTTCTATAAAATGTTCGCACTGATCCATCACTAACTGTGTAATTTATCTAAGACAATGTAATGAAAGACACAAATGAATTTGCAATACTTTTTCTGGTAAAATTCAACTAAAATTTCTTGTCATTACGGACGTACACTGAAAGACACCACTCAACAGCCGAGACTCACACCGTGGTTAGCTAACCTAAATCTTGTAAAATCTAAGAAGTTCAATTGCTCTATAATCTGTACTGTGAATATTATATTAACTTAATAAATATTTTTGTAATACCCCTGCACCTACCTTTTGAACATTAGCTATTCTTAATTGTCCTGAAATTACATTTTTGTTGTATAAGTTATTGTTAAAGTAATATTGTTTGTTAAATATTAACATAACTTAAGTTGTAATGTGTGTGTAGGTATCTCCTCTAATCTGAAGTAGAAAGATCGATGTTACTTACTCTTGGAATTTGCGTGTGTTTACAGGACAAAAACTTACAGAATAAACGATACTCATGATAGTGATAATAACATAATGACAGTGAGCAGACCGAGTAAAGCATTGCGTCCACAAAGATGTACTTGAGTAAACGTTGAAGTCATATCCAAAAGACAATCCTAATCCCGGTGAAGACGTAAATCGCTCGTGGTCCTCGTGAGAACTATGACATATATATATACATTAGACTAACATTAATATAGTAAAGGACCTCATGATAGAAACTTTGTAAAGAACACCGTCTCTAAAAAGTAACAGACAGCAGCTCAGTATGTAAAGGAACGTGAGAAATACATTTTAAGGCCTGAAATGAGTTATAGACCAGTTACAGTATATGTGAAGTATAACTGTGAAAGAGCAAGTGTGATTCTGTATGGTCTTTGTATACAGACTGACGTTGTGTATATGAAACAAAACAAAAAAATGAACTCTATTGCAGTGCCTGTATAAGTGTTATTACCTGTATGTTAAAGTTGATTTCCACGAGCTAATGTTAAGTAATTTTGTTGCTTTTGGATACGAGTGTGGGATCGGTATTAGATAATTTGCATATCTGTTGATGTGTTTGTTTATGAATCAGTGTGTTGTTGTGTATATGTATATAAGTTGATGTTCTTTTCTTGTAGTGTTTGTGTAAGAGTTATGTGTTTCCGTCTGTGTTTACGAGTTTATGTGTTATAGGTCTGCATCTGAAATTCATTATTTGTCACATGTGTCACTGTTATATCTGTTACCGGTAAAATGTGAAATCCAGACATTCTATAAAATGTCGTGTTTGTTTTAGGCAATGTGTGTGAAACGAGATGTGTTTATATGTATTTATTCCCGTAACCAAACCTAAGCTAAGGTGAGTTTAGGTAAGGTTAGGTTACGGGTATAAACGTGTTTAAACAGGTTTCGTATCAGGCATTGTTGATTTAGCTAATAAACAACAATGTGTATTTACATTTATCCTTTTAATACTTTGCCTAAGTCCATTTACACATTTTATATAATCCCTAAGTATTTTACAGACTCAAATAAAACGAAGCTTATTTCATACTTTGCCTTAAGCACACACCTCGGCATTGTATAGAATAAACTAGGCATTTCATACACTGTCTGGATTTCACATTGTACAGGAAACATATTCACTAATTTATACAATATTTATGTTGAATTTGTACAAGATCCATTGAACTTTTCATATTTTAATTATACAGGAAGTTTTGTGGCCCTTTGTTTATTTGTTATTTATTTATTTATTTATTTATTTATTTATTTATTTATTTAATTTTGTGTACAAGAATTTGTTTACTTTAGTTATGGTCTATTTATTTATTGCCCGCTATGATGTTTATTTTGATATTTATTTACGATTTAACTCGTCTATGTTGTAGGTGTACATTTACATGTTTATTTATGTGAGTATGCGCGCGTTAGCATGTGTACTCCGATAGGTTTTGGGATTACGGCAGCTGCTGCATATCTTTTTTTCTTGACTGATAAACTTGAACAAATTCCTAAATCTTATCTAAAAGGCTTGTGGCATAATCTTATTTATCCTTTAAAGGCAAATATATATATTTTTTTTAGTAATCTGCAATTTCTGATGGTGGCTGGCTTAATATGTGCACGTGTTTATAAATGTATATTACGGTTGTATCAATTTCTATATCTGTGTTTTCTTGTGTATTAGAGTTGAGTTAGTTTCTATGTGCTTAATGGTTCCTGAGGTTTAACGTGTGTGTGTGTGTGTGTGTGTAGTGTGTGTGTGTGTGTGTGTGTGTGTGTGTGTGTGTGTGTGTGTGTAGTGTGTGTGTGTGTGTGTGTGTGTGTGTGTGTGTGTGTGTGTGTGTGTGTGTGTGTAGTGTGTGTGTTTGTAGTGTGTGTGTGTGTGTGTGTGTGTGTGTGTGTGTGTGTGTGTGTGTGTGTGTGTGTAGTGTGTGTGTGGTGTGTGTGTGTGTGTGTGTGTGTGTGTGTGTGTGTGTGTGTGTGTGTGTGTGTGTGTGTGTGTGTGTGTGTGTGTGTGTGTGTGTGTGTGTGTGTGTGTGTGTGTGTAGTGTGTGTGTGTGTGTGTGTGTGTGTGTGTGTGTGTGTGTGTGTGTAGTGTGTGTGTGTGTGTGTGTGTGTGTGTGTGGTGAGTGTGGTGTGTGTGTGTGTAGAACTGTAAGTGAGTTTGTGTGTGTTTTAGAGGTATTTGGTGGCTATATACACGCATCTCACAAGGGAACTTGGGTCTTATTCGTCCATACAGTATTCATCATTTGCCGGCACGCGCCATAACTATCATAATCCGCAAACGATCGGATATAAGAGAGTGTATGGGATTAGAGGTTCAATAGATACTGATGGTGAAAGAAACGGTTTTTGTTTAAAATCAGTTATTTACGTATATGTTGATTCATAGTTTGTCACTGTAATTTCCAAATTTAATCGTAATTTTATGTATTGAGTGCTGTTGGAAATGTAGCTTTTGAAAAATATTGATACTCACATTCTGCAATATTTATAGTTTTATTATGATATTGATATTACTTATGTCGTTTCAATTTAATAATATCCTTAGAATGAAAAATAAGACCTTTATCAAAATCTCGTGTACAGTCTCCCACCTTCTGGGGCAAGTGGTCATTATTGTATTTTTCTCTATTCATGCGTCGCTTCGCTACTGAACCCCGTTTCTGTGAAAACCAAGTTTTAGGAATGGTCGTGAGCGAATGTTCACCTATTATATATTTTCTACAGAAAATTCGTCCCTTCTTATTGACCATTCCTGGTAATCGTAATAATCTACCTGTATATTTTCATTTATCAGTATTTCACAGCATTGCCAATCTTGATGACAATGACGGTGGGCCGCTCCTCAGCACACCCTTGTGCATCATCAGACACAGTAACAATCAGCTATAACACACCAACAGGGAGGCTGAATACCCAAGTGGGACAAACATATAATTTCCTTAGTTAATAAATGCATATTAAATAAAATATTTGCCGTTTTCAAATTATGAATTGTGTTTGTGGATTTTTAATTGTGTGAGTGATAAAAATGTCAAGGGTCTTCAGGAATCAAGGTAATGATATAGCAAAGGTTGTTTGTCA